TGGAAAGCCACTCTAATAATGCGATACATGTTCCTGGCAGCTTCTAATTTCTTTGTGGTTACCATAGCAGCCGAGAGATTCTCTGCAGTGCGCAATCCTCTGACATTTAAAGAAAAAGCCTCTAAATCTCGAGCAGCAAAGATATCAGCAGGAATCTGGGTGCCAACAATTATTGTTGGTGTGATTCTGGTATTCATACCAGACACTGTCTTCATTGACATCTTCTTTTGGATTCATTTCCTTACCAGCATTGTCTGTTTTATAGTTACTCTTGTTTTGTACATCTATGTAGTGGTGAAAGTGCACAAGCAATCAGCCCTGTTGCCAAACCGTCCCAAGCGAGCAGGCAAGGTCCTCTGTATGATTGTAACCAATACTGCTGTTTTCTTCATTCTGAACTCACTGGCCATTGCAAATGCAAGTATTGCAATCAAGGTAGTTCATTATTCTTGGCCTGCCCAGGCTGTTGTGTATGTAGAACTTGGAAAAAAAAGTCATATTGTGAATCTATGTATCCAAATCTTGCAACTCATAAATTGCTCAATCAATTCCCTAGTCTACAGCGCCACAAACGCTGACTATCGTGCAGCTGTAGTTGAGGCTTTCTCATTCCTGAAACTGTGCTGTCACTGCTGCCCAAGATGGAATCCCAGCCGACCATCCCAGCCAGGGAAGCAGATTGAGCTTCGCGTGATTCCAAAGGCAGACAATGACCAAGAGCACCATGCTGCCAGGCCAAGCAGCAGCAAGCCACCAAGCCAAGGGCATGTACAACACACAGAGAGTCAACAGTCACTGGACAGCCGTCAAGAACAATGTTCCAGGCAAAGCAGCAGCAAGGCATCCATGCACAGTCAGCAGCATGTTCAAGTGCATGTTGAGGTACATGCAGAACCAGCAGGGTCCCCAGCGCTTGCAAGTTCTCATCGGGAACAATGCTCTAGTCTGACTGACTGCAAGCCATCCATGCAAGGGGAACAGTGTGTACATCCAGAACCAGCAGAGAGCCAGCAGTCACTTGCAAGTACTCAGGAACAATGTCCTGGGCTGACTGGCACCGAGCCATCAGCACAAGGGCAGCAGTATGCACATCAAGAGTCAATTGTTTGAAAGGTGTCAAGAACAATGTTCTCTGGTAACTGATGAGTGCAAGCCATCCATGCAAGGGGAACTGAGTGGAAACTGACTGATGGACACGAACAGTGTTAAAGCTGCAACCTGACAGTCTTAAAACCTGTTTATACATGTACATGTAGATCACGCAAATAGGAGTGCCAAGTAAATTTGATGTGAAGAAACCAAAACAAGAAATTTGCTATGGAAAGGAACGGTTAGAAATAATAATTTAGTGATTGCATATCTGTACTCGTAGTTGATGGGATGAAGATTAACTCTCACAGAACTCAACCCATCAAACCCCAACACCATGTTTTGTTGGAATCTGTCAGGATGGGTACAGTTCCCCTAAACTGACAGACTTTTACATTGGGTTGGCACACCTCCAGAAACAAAGTCAGAAATATGTGTGTGCAGTTTCCAACACGGTGCTGGAATTTGCCAGGATGGGTATTGTTCCTAGTAAATCATGCTAGGGAGTTAGGGTTAAAAAGAACTCTTCATGACAATTAGACAACAGAATTTGATAACAGAAATGAGGACTGGTTTGTCCTTATCAATGAGCAAGTATTATACTGTTTACATACACAGTGCATACTGTGATTACCTTTTGGTGAGAAAACCAGCAAAGGTAATTACATGTGTCCATGTACATGTAACCCTTCCATTGTAAATATCTACTTTAAAGGTATAGTCCATCATTTGTAATTTATGCATTTTGTTCGCTTGAAGCAGCAAAAGTGCTGAAAATCTAAAGAAGGGTACTGAAACCTGATGAAGTTTCAGCTCAGCTTCAGCTGTATATTCCGAGAAAAACAACATTCTAGGATCTCGATTTCAAATCAAAAGTTGCTGAATCATGTTTTGAAGTTGGAAAAGTTGCAAATTTAAAAGATTAATGTGAGGAGAAATTGTTAAGCATAACCACACATGCCCGTAATTGGCCCCTGGGTCATTCGAATAGCCCGCGGGCTCCCATGCATACAAGCACTATGCGATCCATATTCCCTGGGATTTGTTTCGGTAGTGCGATATTGTCATGTCACAAATTTCCACACGTGTAACCAAAAAATGGGTCTCAAAATGTAGCTAACAACATTCCCCCACGGTCTACCTAAATGACGTTATCATAAGAAGATCAGATTTCAAAAATTATGACCCCTCCAATGAAAGTGGACTTCCTTTTATTGCAGTGTTTACATTAGGTATATTTCCTGTCACCCAGACATTTCAAGTAAGGTCAATAATCCTAACTGACTTTTTTAACAAAGTCTGGCCTAAATTCCACCCTTTAACTGGCAGATGGAAATATTTGAACACTCACAAACTATTTAAACGAAAGAGTCACCAATATCCTACCTAGCTCCTCAGAGATGCCTTTCTTCTGGTCATGGGGTAGCTCCGCCCACTTGGCTGGCAAACTCTTGAGACGTCTCACTCGCCTCCGGGGAGTCTTGCAGAATGGCATTGGACATCTAAAACAAAAGTGGATAATATTTTATTATGATAAGACACTGATATTCATATAGTGTCATAACCCTAATAATCCTGAATCCTGAAATTTTGAAAAGATTTTCCCCACACCCTAGAGAGTTTGGGGTAACCAGTTCGTGCCGGGATTATTTTGAGATTGAATGGATTGTGGGATTGTTTAAGTGAAGTTCTGCATGTAGCACTTTCAAAACCTAGGATATACCGGTATGAAAGCCCAATTTATAAGCTTTATTTTAGGACAAAAATCATTCAAATCACTCATGTACTTAAGGTGTGTGTTCTTTCAGCAAAATGAAAACAATTCACACACATCCTTATGTGATCTGTTTTCGTTTTGCTGAAAGAACACTAAACTTTTTTGTGATGTATCAGACATCGACAAAGAAATATTTTACAGACGGGACCTGGCAACATAATTACAGGAATTTAAGTCTGGCCGGTCACAATCATCTGGGATTAAAATTGTGTAATAGGGGAAGTATAATGATTGAAGAGGTGAAAATATTCTCAAAAGACAAAAAATTATCTTGGCAGCTCTAGACTGAGTGAGACAGTGGACAGGAAATGTTTACTTAAAAAAATCCTTCACCAGTTGTTCAGAATGAAGTTAGACAATGATAATATGTACACATGGTCAAGAGCACGATAAAAGATTGTCTACCATTAGTATATGACTAGAGAAATGAGATGACCTCAATGGACCTTAAATCTAAAACTCCCAATTTGGCCATATATTACACTATCCTTCAGATGACTAGATGATGTAAAACGCACTGCTGCAGCAAACCACCCTTCAGATCAAAGATGCTTCTCTCCAGAAGGTTGTCATTGAAGATAATGATGATGATGATGATGATGATGATAATAATGACTGTCGTTTATATTTGATCAAAGTGTCACAAATTAAGATGCCTTTTATGACATCCTGCCGACTACGCCATTTTTGTAACCGAGCTGGAAAGGTTACGCAGAAAATTTGAAAGTGACACTGGGTATATATTCCACTATAAATTGATCAAAATTTTATTACTACAAAAAACGAAAAACTACAAAAAAACGACAGTCATTCTTCAGCAGTCTGTAATAACAGAAAACAGAAGAATAGAAATTAATTTTTTTACAAATATACAATGACTATGAATCCAATATTCAATTATTTAATTATTTGAAATAACCATCTCTCCTTATCCTTGGTTATATCTTATCTTGAGAAATTGCTTTACTGGTTCTATAAACCTCAATTTCCATTGATTTGTTCCATAGCAATGTTTTTGCTGCGAATTTACAAGTACATTTCTTACGAGAGGCATAAAAATATTAAAGGCATAAAAATTTAATCAAGGAGAAATAATCTCCATAAGCACTTGCTATGCAATAATTTTACAACACATTAATCTCCAAATCTCTAAATCTCCAAATCTCCAATTTCTTAGGCACATTTCAAGCAATAATGTTTTATACACGTACCCAAATATTATGGATGCTGGATAAGGGATACACTGGTCTACTCGAGAAGGCTTCTCTATTTGTGACCATCAGGAACCACAGAACTACAAGCAGTAGCTGTAATAAAATTACTGTACATATTAAGTAATCTCATAAATATTAATAAATGTTTTCGATGAAGGAATATTAAATAACCATCAGTGCCATCAAAATGTTTCATCTCCACAGTACATGTGTACCCATCCGTAGTTATTCTATATTGATGAATTTATAATGCATTTTATACAGTACATCTATTTCTTAACATTTGTTTGTTTTAAACAGCAATGCTCATAAAAAGAGTATTCAATATTCTGTATTCGTACATCCTTCTTTATGTCTCATGTGTTTCATTTCAGGCTAGAACATTCTCTTATTTCTCTTTCCATCCACGCTATCCAAATTTGAGTTCAATAAAGTGAATTGACCCTATAATTCAACATATTTAGGATCGAAGTATGTGCAAGTACACAGTCAATATTACAAGGTTCGGTATCGAAAATTCAAGTCATATTATGCACAATTTTCATATAGACTTGGCTTTCAACCTGGGATATTTATTTTATAGCATAAAAATGTTTCATACAGACTTGGCTTCCAACCTTGAGTATTCATGGCATAAAAATGTGTCGTAAAGTGCTATTTAAGATAACATCAAAATTTATGAAGTTGAAACACTTACCGGAGCAGTTGTGGCCTGTGTACCTATGCCTCGGGATGTTTGGGCAAACTACACGATATGCATGTACACGATATGTGTATGCACATGCGGCGTGCTAACCATGGCAAAACCACGTGAGAAACAGCAAAATATAGACAAGCTGGCTCGCAATAAGGTGTGGCTGGCAGCAGCAACGACAAGCAGTCAAGTGACCTACCCATGCTTGCTTACTTGCCAAAAAACTAGTGAAAAATTCACGGAATGTGCGTCCGAAGCCCTATGCTTTTGAGACACTGCACGGAATAAAAGGCTTTTTCGCACTGCATGTCATATGCAAATTGTTACGCAACTATGTATGCTCTATTCAACGGAAAACACAAGAGGGCGCTCGCATGCTCCGACAACTTTCGCATCGCTGTTTATGCTAAAAATATCAGACATCGACAAAGAAATATTTTACAGACGGGACCTGGCAGCATAATTACAGGAATTTAAGTCTGGCCGGTCACACTTGGGTCTCTTGGTGAAACCTTTATTAAAAAGAAATATTGTGATTAAAACATGTGTATATAATGGAGAAATATAGCTGCAGTATACCAGTGCATCTCAACAAGCCACTGAAATGTCACTTCTGTTGGTATACCGTGGCAGTGAAAATGTCGAGCAAAAGGCACTTTTTAAAGGAAACATGCAGTAGAAATTCAGCCTATCTTGTTTTTATGCACGTTATTACGTGTTGCAAAAATACATACAAGAAGTTAATACTTGTGTTCATCGAAAGTGACAAGAAAATGTAGCAAATCCTCTCATCAATACATGTAAGAGGGGGCTATTTTGCTTTTGTCACAAAGGTACTCCTTGGCAAAAGTGCATAATTATGAACAGTACACAAATCAGTCCTTCAAAATTACCCACAAAAAAAAAGTTTTTAAGAAATATAGGCCACTATTGTCTAAGCAAGCTGTTTAACATGATAACTTCCGGTTTGATGATGTCACAGTATTTGGCAGCAATAAGTGAACATTGTAATGGATATCGTAACTTGGTACGAAGATATACGACATGAATCGAATGTCAGAATATGGTTGTTTTCAAATTATCACAGGGGTAACTTCTGGTCTGATGACGTCATGAATTTGAAACCTTGCCAAGTTATTTTTGGTTAATCAAAGAACATCAAGGACCGATTTGGTAAAATTTGAACGGATGGTTTTCAAATTAGAAAGAGTAAACACTGTGTTATGTGCCACTAGGGGGCGCCCTTTCGAAAGATGACGTCATCCCACTTTTTTTTGTCTGGCAGTCCTCACTAAACACTATCATAAGTAAATTCACCCAAAATTGACCTTCCGGTAGACCCGGAAGTAAAGGTCAAACGAGTTCACGTACACAACAAAAAATAACGAAATACAAACATCATTGATTATTTTGTTCAAGAGTTATAGGTTAAAGTAATTGATCACTTTTTCAGCTAAAATCACTAGTAATTTGATACCCGATGACGTCATCATGACATCAGAGTAATATGCACCACTAGGGATGAGGGTCGATATATATTGAAACTTACAAGTTCATATCATGAACCGTTTTGGAGAAAAGCCGCGGAGAAGTATTGTCCGGAAAAAAAGAAAGATTTATCAGAACAAAAACAGAGAGTGGTTGGGTTGTGCCCGACCACTCAAAAAGTGGAACTTACTCACAGAAAACAAAGGAAAGTTTGACATGCTCTCCAATGTTAAGCTCTTTAAAGATATGCTTTATTAGTGTATCAAATTTGCTTTTTAAGAAAAGTATCTCTCATCCGGGCCACTTTCTTTAACACATATACCATGTACAAATGGAATTGAATTTAACATAGGAAGAAAGCATGTTCAAATTGACATCGGGATATTGAAACCTACAAAAAGTTGTTTTGCAGTTTGCCAACACCGGGGCAAATTGTTTAGCCTGGGGACTTATTGAGTGGTCGGGCACAACCCGACCACTGTCTGGATTTGTTCTCAATTAAATCTTCTTTCTTTCCTTTTTTTTTCCCGGACAATACTTCTCCGTGGGTTTTCTCCAAAACGGTATATGGAATGAACTTGTAACTTTTAATATATATCGGCCCTCAGCCGAAGTGGTGCATATTACTCTGACGTCATGATTACGTCATCAGGTGTCAAATTACGAGGGATTTTATCTGAAAAAGTGATCAATTACTTTCACCTATAACTCTTGAACTCAATCATCAATGATGATGGTATTCTGTAATGAGATAGACCATTAACTGTTTAACATTTTTGGTACGTAAACTGGCTTGACCTTTACTTCCGGGTGTACCGGAAGGTCAAAGTTAGGTGAATTCAAAATGAAGACATTAGCCTGAAATCAAAACAAAGCACAATTTTTTTCCGAACGGTTTACGGTATGATCACAAAACCTTGTGTGAACTTGTACCAAACTAGTTACGTTTGGTGCTAGAATTTAGTAGAATTTGAATATGCTCTCCTCCTTAAAATTCAAATCCATTTGTACGGTATGTGATCAAGAAAGTGGTCCGGATTCAAAAAGTTCAAGAAATTGAATTCTTCGACGCTAAAAGCAAAGTGAATATGCAAACTTACCGGTTCTCCATTGGCAGTTGGATCCCTTAGCACTGGCATAGCTGCAACACACAGGGTGCACTTCCAAGCGAATTGGTCTCCGCTTTTCATTGCGTCTCTGTAAAACGCCAAGGTGATACCTGCCAAGAGAGAACAAAATTATAATGTGCCTTGTTATGTTATATATTTGGCACCTTGAATGGCATTTTTATCTTATCTAATACTTGTATTCTTCATTTCGGCCAGTAACAGGGAATGAATGTATACCCCACTGAATCAAGTAATTAACAAGGTTATTGGTAATGTGAAAATAATGTGAAAACAACAACAATAGAACACTTTTTCAAGGGTCAAAGTACTTTTTGTGTACAAATTGCATGCAGAAAAGTTCATCCCCCCTCAAAAAAACATTTCCACCCCAAATTTAATGTGAAAAGCAAGGGGAGAGGTTGCAAAATGTACATGTATTGCTTTTTGGCGATGTAACCTGCCCCACACAATGGCCCCTGTTGGCAGACAAATTTAACCATCTTAAATATTGCGGGGAAAGTGATTAAAATGACCATTATTACATCATTAAAAAATTATTGCTTCCTCACATTTTTCAGAAATTAACTTATATCGTGGAGCATGCATATAGGTACAAAACTGTAGGAATAGATTAATACCTAGCCAAGGCTCAAGTACATGACATAGAATATAAGCCTAAGCTTTCAGATACATAGAAACTTTGTTATATCCGAGTTCTTTTTTTTCTTTTTTCTTTTTGGTGGGGGGGGGGGGGGGGGGGTGGAAAACACCACTGCGACATTAGATGAACATCGAAAACGGAAATCGTTCCAATCTACAACTCCAAAAGTTGAAATGTTATGGCGGAAAGAAAAATAAATCACAAAGAGGCAGCTAGTTTAGTTATCTATCCTGTCAGTCCTCACAACTTGTTCAATTGAAATTTGTCTTTGACTCAATCATGAACATGCGAGAGAAAAATAACCTGGAGCACTCTGGATTTTCAATATAAAATTATGCGGTAACAAAATGTTTTTATACAGGGGGAAACTAACCTGGGCAACAACGCCGGTGTTGCCAATGGTGGCAACCGTCGCACTGAAAAGCGTGCTGCTACGAGGAGACTTCCTCCCCACATCTAATACAGGGGTACTGCGCCGAGGACTTGGAAGTCGGCTTCAACTTTCGGGTGCGAACAGGCATTGTAACGATATAAGTGATGTCTTCGAACGAATGACGACGACTGATGGAATGCCTTGGTTTTATAGGGGAATTTCGTACCTGTGATGTTCAATTTTGCCGACTGTCAGTGAGCTCGTCGTTTGATTGACATCTTGGACACCTGCACTGCCAATCAACCGCAAAACATCATACGGCTCGCAAGCGTCGCCGCTGTCATTGTGATTTGGGACGTTCATGCACGTACGTTAGGCACAATTCGTCACCGTTTTCACGAACAGCCACATACTATATATATTATGTTGATTTTGAAGTAAAGTGTTTTCGAGATAATCACAAAAGAAGTTTCTCATATTTTAAAACTGCAAGAAATACTACTTTGCAACAACTTTGTGCAGCAAGAAAACCATCACACGATTCTACGTGAGCTGAAGTTTTACATAAACCCGATAATAAGACTAAATAAAGCAGTTAATTAGTGGAAATTAATTAGTAAAGATATGTGGCTCTTTGTGAAAACGCAAATTCACGTTTCCGACATATTGGCCCTTTCTGTTCAACGTGTATTTCCATAGGCGCGCGTGAGTACGCGCGCGCGCCTGAAAATGTAACAAAGATATGTGGCTCTTCGTGAAAACGCAAATCTCATTTGACCTACTTTTACGTATTTCCGTGCAATGGGTTTTGTACGCGTTCAAAGGGCCAAAATGTATGTGGCTCTTCGTGAAAACGCAAAATGCAGTTATCGAGATTTCTGCCCCTTGCAACATTAATGTAACTTAGAAATTAATGATGTTTTGCTTACAGAAACATGTAAAAATGGTTAAGTACATTGTTTTAATGCGAAATATCGAAAAAAAATCAAAATCGAAAAAAATTGTAATTTTGGAGATATGTGGCTCTTCGTGAAAACGGTGACGAATTGCAAATGCTTGCTAGGGGACGCTGCGAGTGTCCCTTATTATTTTCCTTTATTGGGTACCTAGGTCTAAGCCAAACAGCAAAAGTTGGTTTCCACAAGGAAAAGCATGGAATTCAAATGTTTAAAGAAGTTCACTTTGAATAAAATTAACTACAAAGGGGTGTCAGATACATGTAGTTTTCATACTTTTTCACTTGTTTATTGAGCACTTGCTTTGCAATTTATTGCACACTTGTGAAGGGGGTACAAGCCTGCTAGAGTGATTCTTTGACCTTACAATTCCCCAAAGTCTTTACATTTCTTCGTTCAGGGAGCCGGACTACAAGAACATGATTGGTTTATTGGTTTTTCCAGCATATACAAGCCCAAAACGTGAAACAAGTAAGTTTAACAAAATTTGCTATAACATACTAATCCTCCAAATCCATTTATTTCTGAAAATTGCAGCAAAAGCAAATGTTGTACATTCTCTTTAAGGATAGAGGGAAGTTGCACAAATCGTGTTCCTCAGAAAAATTCATTAATGGACATTGGTGATTATCCCTGGGCTGATGGTGACATAAACACCTATGGTGATAAAAACCGACAGGTTTATTTTTTTACCAATCAGGCCGTATACAAAGTCATGTACGTCTCTTGCATACAGTCAGCAGTTACCAATAATGAGTCAAAAGAGACAGAATATAGAGTATAGCTTACCAGTCGAATCATGTATTACATTTTTGCCCTTTTTACCAGGTTTCAGAAAAACAGTAATAATTTGCTCTCTTTAAAATGATACATTGTGGAATAATTTAAAGAGTTCCTGGATGTTTCCAAACCCTCACCAGACTAATTGGCCAATTGTGCAATTGGACTTATTTTTATCAACCATGTACACTCACAAAGAGATGCGGATACATGTCTAGTGGCATTTTAGTCCATGCAGTTTTTGGCCAGTCTCTTTATTTCCAAAGAGAAGTTTTTAATTATGATCACGACACTGGCTCGACCGGACTATTCAAATCCCCTTCCAATGGGCCGGCGGTCCGGTGTTCTCCACAGACGAGAGCGCAAGGTTCAGAAGTCGGCAACCGTATAATACGCCGCTTCAGGCCCGTAGGAAGCTAATATTTATTGGTCAGGCTCATCTCAGGGCAGGGAGCTCAGTTGATGCGAGCGCGTAGCGCGAAGCCCTAACGGCGTGGGGTTCGGGGCCCGCTTAAGGGCCCCGAAAAATTTTGGATTCCAGACGCTCTGTGATGCGATCTGAGGCAATTTCTGACCACTTTAACCTTTTTTTGAGCTATCATCATTTAAACATCATTTTTAAGTTTGGAGTCAAATATCTTTTTATATATATTTTTTTTTTGCGTGAGAAATCCTATGTCGGCGTTAAAGCATGAGAATAACCTGAAATGTGTGAGTCTTACGCTCAATGTGTTAGAGTTGGCAGGCCTGCAGAGGCAGATCCAGGATTTGACCCAATCCCTCCCAAATGTAACCAAAAGCCACTCCCCCCCCCCCACACTATGCATGTATACAGGGAATTTTATTCTTCGTAATTTGTACAAGACACATTTTGGAGCACTGCACATCTGCAAGTTTAACCAGTATATGTCACTTGATGAACTTTACATAAAAACTGTAGCTTGACTCTCTTTCTAGATTTGTGCTCTTTAGCTTGATCCATGATTGTGTTTACAGGGAAAGGGCGTAATCATGCATGTCGCCATGCACTGCACGTTAAGTTAAATGGAATTTAACCATGAATTTTAGTTTTCCTCAGACTTGTACTTGTGGTGTTTTTTTTTTAAAGAAGTGGTTTTCTAGCTGAGAAAATAGCAAGGAAGAACCGGTATTGTGCAAGCAAAATTCAGGGAATAATCCGTTGATACTAATATCTTGTTGGAAAATTCCAAAATCATTTCAAGAAAGTTGCCGCCGTGAATCAGAGTTTATGAAGGGACGGAAAGTGGGATTTGCTATCAGCATCAACAGGGCCGTTTCTCATTATTTACCTTTTATGGGATGTGAATCAAATTGGAGGACGAGAGGCTCTGCGGGCTGATGTATTTTTTAGAAATTTAATTCACCGGTATGGGTACATGATTGAACTGCCGAGCGTATTTGTTAAGTTTTTTTTTTTCTAAAAAAAATACATCAGCTCGCAGAGTCTCTCATCCTCCAATCGATTCACATCCCATCAGGTAAAGAATGACGAACGGTCTTGTTGATAGCAAATCCCACTTTCCGTCCCTTCATAAACTCTGATTCACAGCGGTAATTACTTTCTTTGAATGATTTTGGAATTTTCCAACAAGATATTAACTTCAACGGATTATTCCATGAATTTTGCTTGCACAAAACCGGTTCTTCCTTGCTATTTTCTCATTTAGAAAACCACTTCTTTTTAAGCAAACACAAGTACTAGTCTGAGAACAACTAAAATTCATGGTGGCGGCCAATCGCCATTACGTTTAACTTAACAGGTAGGCCTAGTGGCGACATATATGATTACGCCCTTTCCCTTAAAACAACAAAACAAAACACAAAAACAACACAAGAAAAATTTGGGGGAGGGCAACGGGGGCCATGCCCCCCCCCCCCCCCCGAAAAAAAATGGAACCCATTTTTTTTCAGTGTCGTCGCAATAGAGGCAGGTACTGCATACACCACCATCTTTTCCTTTAAAAAAATGGTTTAAGTGGTCAGAAATTGCCTCAGATCGCACCACAGAGCATCTAGAAACCAAAAACAAAAAAATCCACCCTTGGGGCCATGCAAGGCCTTGTATACATTTAAAAAAAAAAGAAGATATGCCTGTTATTATTGGTACGGCCATAGCCGTACCTGCCGTACCGCTTCCTACGGCCTTGCGCCGCTTTGTATCAACGAAGACCAATTCTTATCCAAATAAACAAAATATGAGTTATGATGTACAGGGATTTGTTTTTAGAAAACTATTTAAGACTGCTAACTGTGTTCTTGAAGGCGTTTAGATTATAACTTTATGACCTGATAGCTATTACAGGGTTTTTAATTTCGTCATGCATGTGAACTTGTCAATCCTGAAGTGACATCGATTCATCGCGGACGGCACTTTATATGGATCACCTCATGAATCGTCTCAAGCAACACAAATGGTTCATTGGCGAGCCACTGGATCATCTGTAAATAGAAAAATAATTAAGTGTTAATGCAAAGTTTGGGTCAAAATATATTTTGTGTATACAAATAATGAAATAATATTAACGCAATGGTCGGTCTAAGGCGGTACCGAATCCCGAACTGTATGCGCGCACCGTACCAGCGCATCAAACCGACGTCACACCGTGCACGGCACGGCCACGTCGACCGGCGCGGCGGCGGCAAGTGGGCGCACAGGCCCGGCAAAAACGATGTCACCGTGCACAGTACGGACAAGTTGACCGGCAAGTGGGCGCGCAGGCCCGGCAAGAAAGATGCCGCGTACCGGTACCGTGCACGGTACGGCCACGTTGACCGGGCGCGGGATAAGTGCGCACACAGGCCCGGAAAAAAAGAACGATGTGCACGGACAATCACACTGCGCTATATCGACTCTGTTATATGCAACAAAAGGCAAGTTTGAATAGAATAGGGCCATCATTTTCCTAAACTAATGCAGCTAAACCTATCATCTCGCCCAGCGGCAACCCCAACCGTATATCAACCCGGCCCGACCAAAAAAACCTCATCTACCATAACGGCGATCGTCAAAATCCCCCCGTCAAAATCCCCGGTACTACCTCAAAAACATGCGAGTCGACTTGTCTCAACGGTCGACTTGTCTCAACGGTCGACTTGTCTCAACGGTCGACTTGTCTCAACGGTCGACTTGTCTCAACGGTCGACTTGTCTCAACGGTCGACTTGTCTCAACGGTCGACTTGTCTCAACGGTCGACTTGTCTCAACGGTCGACTTGTCTCAACGGTCGACTTGTCTCAACGGTCGACTTGTCTCAACGGTCGACTTGTCTCAACGGTCGACTTGTCTCAACGGTCGACTTGTCTCA